CGTGTCTGTTCCCCTTCCTCCAATTCCTCAGCGCTGTTCCCATCCTCCAATTCCCCAATAAAAATCTTAAAAAAAAAAAAAAAGAGCAAAGGGTCTCAGGTGGAGCTGCTGAAAATCACAGAGCTCTCTGAGGAGCATGGAGAAATACCAATGTATTAATTTCTATCATACAATCTAGGAAACAAGTCATGCCCAAAGAAAACGACCATATGCCCCACTTTCAGCCCATGACAGAAAGGGAATGGCTTGGTTACTATAAGAGGAGTTCAGGTTGATAACAGCTTCAAGTTCAGCTGGGCCCAGGCACTCATGGCATCAGAGCCCTCTCTCCATCCTTGGTGGCAGCACTTCCCTGGCAGTAATGCCACCAGCAGCCCAACAACCCAAAAGCAAGACCCAACCTCCCTCTCCAGAGGCGGGCCACAAAGTATTCTGATTGACCTGGCCAAGGGTCACTGTGCACTTTCAAAGATCCGCCCCCCAAGGCCAGACCCAGTGGAGAGCTGAGTCCCCCAAAGAAGGGCTTGCTTCCCAAACCAGCATTGCACATCCCCTTGCAGGCCATCTCTGAGCTTTTCTGTTAAAATCAGAATCCTACTTGATTTTTTAAATTTTGCTTTCTGCTAGTCTCTCCTCCTACAAGTGATAGCAAGCACTAGTTGTTCCATTGTGGTGGTGTGATTTTTAACCAAGGGAAAAAAATTTAATTGGAAACATCTATCCACTAAGATCATGCCCCCCCTCCCCCACTGAGAAAATACCACCATTATTTGGTTTATACTGCCTCCGCCCACCAGTGTTCCATAGGGGCCTGTTTGAGAATCCCTTTTTTCCTAAATATAAGAAAATCCTGAAGACTGTAATGTGGGGGGCAGGGTAGACTGCTGCTCTACATTGGTGGGGGTGAGAAGTGGACCAACTGCAGAGTGATTTTGAAGGAACAATTAAGACAAAAGTGACTAATTAGACAAGAGTTTAAGGGGATGACCTCAAGGTAGAAGTGGAAAAAGCCAGAGTGGAAAAAAACCCAACATTTTGAAACAATTCCAAAAAATTTGTTTCATTCTCTAAAAATTTGAAGAAAAATAAATTTGTTTATCCACAAATTATTACTGTTTTCCCCAGGCCTCTGTAATTGCTAAATTGACCAGGCAAAATAATTTGGTTAAAAAAATTGTGTCAGGCTCTATAAATTTTATGTCAAGCAAATGACTATAAACCTGTAAAAAAAAAATCTAATCAAATAAAATGTGAACATATTTCATTTTATCCTACAATTACTACTGCTTTTCCCATACTAATAAAAAATTTTTTTCCTCTCTTCAAATGGCCTCAAATTTTTAAGAAACTTTACATCTTTACTTTGAAATTTCTTGCCTGGATGAATGTACAAATAATAGCAAAACAAGGACAACAGGAAGAGGAAAGAAGGCTTAATAACCAAAAATTCATGGAATTGTCTAGCTAAAAAGACTCCATTTCAACTTCTTTGTTTTACAGATTAAAGATATCAGAGAACCAAAAAGGCTTGAGGGTGTTGCCCTGTACCTTCCACCTAACTTTCCCCACCTCCTGCATCCAGCTTCCTGCGAGGAGCTGAATGGATCACACCGGAAGGGTGGTCTGAAGTGGAGCCACAGGCAGTGGCATCCCTAAATGGTAAGCTCAAGGCAGGACCTTGGGCAGCACCTTGTTACAGGGGACCAGTGAGAATGAGAACCATGGATGGGGAGGACCTGGGGTCCACAGAATGGCCAAAGAGGGCAACGAGGATGGCCGGGAGGGTGACAGGCTGCCCAAACTCTTAGGAGGCCTCAGGTGGCCAGTGATGGGATTCAGATGGAGTAGGGCCTGGAGGTCGATGAGGGTAGGGGAGTTTCAGGCCAGCCCTGTGGCTTTTTTCCTGAGCTCACTGCATCCTTCAGCATGCCCTGGAGAGCTTGTTGGAATGCAGATTCCCGGTCTCTTCAGAGGACCTATCAATGAGAACCCTGGGTCCAGCCTGGGGATCTGCATCTCAGCAAGGTGGGTGGGATTCTGACGTGATGTACGCCTGCCTTGGAGGGTCCTGCTAGGGGAAGCTTTTGGGCATTGTTGCAAGTGGTGCATATCTCTTGCGGCCCCTGGAGCAGGGTGGGTGAAAGTATTATAGGTTGCTGTGTTGGTGGTGTCTGTTCTTCAGGGTGTTCTTGGCTGAGAAGCTGGGCTGTGGAACTGGAACCCAGGTCAGAGCGCAGGAGGGCTTGACATGAGGGCAGTGGAGCAGCCCTGGAATCTTCCTGCCCAACAGTCTGCTGTCCACATAGAATCACTGAGCAGAGAGCCATTAGACCTCAGTCTGGTGCTAGATTCTGACTGTAGTACAGATGGGGGTGGGTGGGGGGTGGGGCTTAGAGGGATGTCCTTCTGAGGGGAGCAGGTCCTTGGTGGCCCACCACAAGGCTCCTTGCCCTCCTGGCTGCCCTTACAGAAGCCTGGATCTT